TACTATTATCGCTTTTGTATCGATTTTGTTATGGATATTGTTACTGATTTTGCTATCGATATTTTCGGAACTTATCGATATAATGATCGATATTTTTTTATCGATTTTGTTATTGGTTGTTTTATCGATTTTCATATCAATGTTTTGTCGATTTTGTTATAGAACTTGCTATCGATTTTGCCATCGATATTATTATCGATTTTGTTGTCGATATATTTATCGATTTTGTTGATATTTTTATCGAATTTGTCATCAATATTTTTATCGGTTTTATTACCTATATTTTTAGCGATTTTGCTATCGATATTGTTATCGCTTTTGTTATCGATATTTTTATCGGTTTTATTATCGATATTTTTATCTATTTTGCTATCGGTTTTGTTATTGATGTCTTTATCGATCTTGTTATCGATTTTGTTATTGACTTTGTAATCGATTTTGTTATCGAGTTTGTTATCGATTTTGTGATTGATTTATAGATTTTGTAATCGATTAAGTTATAGATTTTGTTTTCGATATTATTATCGATTTTGGTATCGATATTTTCATCGATGTTTTTATCGAATTTGCTATCGATATTATTATCGCTGTTGTAATCGATATTTTTTTTCTTAGTGTGTGCTTTCACTTTTGACTTGCGATATACTCTTAATCATACCACGTATTCTACGTTTAAGTTTAGCGGCTGTATCTCCGATACAGCCTGCAGACCAAGACGAAGGCGCTGGACTGTTCCTTTTTTACAACGCTTTTATCAACTTGCAATGTTGTGTGTCCAGAAACTTTCAATGTTGTGGATCCAGAAACTTTCAATGTTGTGTGTCCGACACCATAAAACCTTTGCTTTGAAAAGTTCCGCATAGTGCATAGGGCGACATCTGTAGTGAATAGGGCGAGGTAGATGACATCTAGATGTCGCCCTATGTACTACGTTTTCTACAGCGGAAATAGACTACACGCCATTTCTTTAAATAAAATTAATTGGTGCTCGTTTGTATGTACATACATATGTAAATGCATGTGTGTGCACCTTTCTATTAATATCGCTGAATTATTTTAATATCTATTGCAAAATTTTATTCAGACAGGACTAAAAAGTAGAAAATAAATAATATAAAAAAAAACTTTTTAATATACAACGCTTTTATAAATGGACTAAAAAGTAGAAAATAATATTTCTCAGTCCCATGGAATTTGTTTTGATAACTTTTGATTTTGAAATTTTAGCAAAAGTCATTATAAACAATCTATGAAATTGAAAATGAAAAGCGTGGGGCGCATGTAATACACTTGAATTGATATGAAAAGTAATATATGTATGTATGTATGTGGGTATATGAATAACGACCGCTTAAAATCGATTTCAAAGTTCTACTTTCGCTGTAGAAATTTTAGGTCTACGTTATGTAGTTTGACTATTGTCAATTAAATCGAATGCTTTGTATTGCATGCGCTCCACGTTTTTATACCCGAGCGCACTTGTGCACAAGGGTATTATAACTTTGTTCACATAACGGTTGTTTGTAACAGGCAAAACGAATCGAGATAGATATAGACAAATGTATACATAAATGATCAGAATGAAAAGAGAAATCGATTAAGCGGTGACTGTCTGTCCGTCCGTCCGTCCGTCCGTCCGTCCGTCCGTCCGTCCGTCCGTCCGTC